GCACGGAGGCAACTGCATTCAGTCAGGAGCTTAGGGGCTGGACCATCTAAGATGGTCTCTGATCCTCAAAGTCTCTCTCCACATGGCTTCTCATCATTCAATAGTCTAGCCCAAGTTTCTTTAAAATAAAGCATGCTGGCTGTCTTCCAAAAGGGCAAAGCATCATTGTGTAAGTACTTATCAAGTTTCTGCTTGCACTGTGCATGCCTGTGTCTCATTGGCCAAGTCAAGTCACACAGCCATGCCTGGACAATATGGAAAGGGACTGCACAGAGCCGTGAATATTGGGAGGTGTTGTTCACTGGGGGCCAACAATGTAATAGTATACCACAGCCCCTGCTGGTTATGTGTCTGTCTGCCATAACTAAGGTAACTTAAGAGGTTCTAGTGTTAGGGGTGCCAGGGTGGCACAGTTGGTTAAGCGTCCGACTCTTGGTTTTGGCTAAGGTTGTAATCTCAGGGTCATGAGATCAAGCCCTGCATCTGGTTCCATGCTCAGCATGGAGTCTGCTTGGGAGTTTCTCTCCCTCTCCCTCTGCCCCTCCTGCTTGTGCCCTGTCTCTCTCCTTGTCTCTCTCTCTCTCTCTCTCTAAAATAAATAAGTAAATCTTTAAGAGAGAGAGAGAGATTCTGATGGTGGGGTGCTTAGTGACATAGCAAGATTAGTTGTGCCAATCAGACTTTTCATCTAAGATTTGGGAATTGGAACACTGGAAGATCGTATCACTTTAGTTCGGAGGAGCTGATAAAAGATTCTGTAGACTCAGGAGCTGGGGCCACCATTTTAGGACCTAAGGAAACTGACAAAGAAGCGGAAGAAGTAGATCCGCAGAAAGAAGAATGGAATAGACTTACTTAGAGAGACCAAAATGAGAGATGTCATGTTGACTTTGAGAGCTGTCAAGAGCAGCCTTATTCCTGACTTTCCAATTCACCTGAAGCCTAGTTGAACTTTATGTTCATTCAACAATTGTTTATTGAGCTTATTATGTACTAGGTACTAGAGAGAGTGGTAGACTATACAGGCATAATCTACGTTCATGGAGTTTACATTCTAGATGGAGGGGCAGGGGAGAGGAGAGGAGGGGAGGAGAAGTACATAGCAAACAAATGAATGAAAAAACAAGATGACTATGGAGAGTGATAGTAGCTATAAAGACAGTTAAGCAGGATGATGTATTAGATGGAGGTAGACTTGAAGGCTGCTTTAGATAGGTTAGTCAGAGAAACCTCTACAAGAAGGAGATGTTTGAGATGAATGCCAAAAAGAAGCCAGTCGATCAAAGATCTTGGAAAGACATTTCAGACAGGGGGAAGCACAAGTGCAAAGGCCATGAGGTGAGTCCATGTTTAGTGAGTTCAAGGAACAGAAAAGAGCCAGTATATGTAAAATATAGTCATTAAGTGGCAGAATACCAAATCATATAAGTTTTCTGTGTGAAGGGGTTTAGATTTTATTCAAATAGCAATGGGAAGCCTCTGAAGGATCTTAAGTTGAAGAGATTAAGCTGATCAGATTTATGTAATAAAATGCACTCTGGCTGATACATAGAGAATGGTTTGGGGGACAGAAGTGGACCACTTGGGAAGCTATTGCTATAATTCGAGAAAAAGATGACTGTGGGTTGAACGAATATATAGTAGAGGAGATGGGGATAAGTGAAATTATTTTATGAATTGGAGGTAGGGTTGGCAGATCTTGCAGATAATTTTATTTTCTTATTTTTTTAAGATTTTATTTATTTATTTTGAGAAAGTGTACACAAGTGGAGGGGAGGGGCAGAGGCAGAGGGAGAGAAGGAATCTCAAGCAGACTCCATGCTGAGCACGGAGCCCAATGTAGGGCTCCATCTCACAACCCTGAGGTCATAACCTGAGCTGAAATCAAAAGTCCGATGCTTAACCAACTGAGCCACCCAGGCGCCCCAAATCTTGCAGATAATTTTAAAGTAGAGGGTGAGGGTAATCAAGGTTTTGGCTTAAGCAATGCATTTATAGGGAATTAGGTTGGAGAAGGAATAGGTTTGGGTTGCGGGGGAGAAATCTAGAATTTATCTTTGAACATGAAAAGTTTGAGATATCACTAGATATCCAAATAGATTATCAGATCAGCAGCTGGAAATACAAGCCTGAGGATCAGGGAGAGGTCAGGGCCAGGGATATGTATTTGGGAGTCATCAGCATACAGATGGAATAGAAAGCCATGGGAATTGATGAGATCCTTCTGGAAAAGAATATATAGAGAGAAAAGAAGGGAGCTCAGGACCTTCAACACAAAGAGGTCAGACAGAGGAAGAGGAGCTGTCAGCAAGAGACCAAGATAAAGTGGCCAGAGTCACAAAAGCCAAGAGAAAGAAATATTTCAAGAAGGAGGGAGTGATTAAGTGTGTCAAACACTGCTTAAGGGTCAAGTAAGATGATGTAAAGAGACGAAACCATTGGATTGGGAAATATGGAAAGGGTCGGGGATCCTGACCAGAGCAGTTGCAGGGGAGTGGAAGGAATAGAAACCCAATTAAGGTGTTTCAGTAGGGGCAGGGCAGGGATGAAGAGAGAAAATTGGACAAGAGTAATAGTGACAGGGAGACATACATAGACAGAATCATTGTGGTGAGAGACTGGATATGGGGAATGAAGGGATGCTCATAGGGTTTCTAGAGGTGATAAGGAGGGTAGTGGTGCTCCCAATTTTAAGAACAGAAAGAGGGGGTAAATAGGAAGGAAAAGAATGATTTCCACTTGGGAAAAAATTGATTTTAATGTGCCGGCAGGACGTTCATGTGACAAAATTAAGCAGTTAGAAATTTAAACCTGAACCTTGTTGATTCCCAAATCTATACATCCAGTCCAGAGGTGCAAAATGGTCTGGACTAGACCTCCCGATTTGGGAATCACCACCATAAAAATTGTGTTGGCTGACCATGAGTGTGGGTAAGAACTCCCTTCAGTGTAGAATAAAAGGAAATGAAGGTCAAAGACAAACTTTGGAGAACTCTTGCATTGAATGGATGGTGGGAGAAAGAAAAGCCAGCAAAGAAAATCAAGGAAGAATCATAAGAGTTGTGTCATAGAAGCCAAGAAAGAAAAGATTTTCAAGAAAGAACGGGTGGCCAACAGTGTCGAGTGCTGCCGAGAGTTCAAGTATGCCGAGAATAACGAGGTAGCTGGTAGAATTCATACTCAGAAGGCCACGGTGACTGGGGCTTCTTGTGTCCACAGGCCTCTCCAACATCAACCAGACTCGTCTTGATTTCCACTTCTCCTCTGATAGAACTGCTAGTGGCATGGAGATCCAGCAGGCCAGCCTCATGTTCTTTGTACAGATCCCTCCCAATACCACCTGGACTTTGAAGCTGAGGATCCTTGTGCTGGGCTCACGTGACACCAACCTCACCTTGGCCACTCAGCACCTGCTGGAGGTGGCCAAGAGTGGCTGGCACCAGCTCTTCCTGGGGCCTGAAGCTCAGGCTGCCTGCAGCCAAGGGCACCTGACCCTGGAACTGGTCCCTGAAGGCCAAGGAGCCGAGAACTCAATCATACTGGGTGGGGCTGCCCATAGGCCTTTTGTGGCAGCCAAGGTGAAAGTTGGGGGCAAGCACCGGGTTCACCGGCGAGGCATCAACTGCCAGGGTGGGTCCAGGATGTGCTGTCGACAAGAGTTCTTTGTGGACTTCCGTGAGATTGGCTGGCACGACTGGATCATCCAGCCTGAGGGCTATGCAATGAACTTCTGCACAGGGCAGTGCCCAATCCATGTGGCAGGCATGCCTGGCCTTGCTGCCTCCTTCCACACTGCGGTGCTCAACCTTCTCAAGGCCAACACAGCTGCAGGTACCGCGGGAGGGGGCTCATGCTGTGTGCCCACAGCCCGGCGCCCCCTCTCTCTGCTCTACTACGACAGGGACAGCAACATTGTCAAGACTGACATACCTGACATGGTGGTCGAGGCCTGTGGGTGTAGTTAGTCCATGTGTGGATGGGCAGCCCAACGTGGGGTAGGCAAACATGCCCTCACAGTGGTACCCTTCCTTGAGAGGAGGGAATGACTCCATTACTGCCTCTGTCCAGAAGGAGGGCTCCTTCCTGAGCAACCTATGGAAATTATCCCAACTGTGGCTTGAGGAGATCTTCATCTAAGGAGAGTCACTGTACCATCTTCACGACCACCAGTCTCTCTCCTAGGGATAGTCTATCCAGCAAGCCTCACAGGCTCAACTGCCACCCAGGGACTCTGATCCACCTGCAGCCGTGAGCAGTGCCACCTAGTTCCCAGGCAAAGCCACCCATAGCCCACCCTTAATCCATCCCATAACCCACTGTACTTCCCCACTCTTCCCACTTGATGGCCGTCCCTCCAGGATGAGTTGACCCAGCCCCTTCCCCTGATTTTCTGGATTACCAGAGAGCCCCTTCCTTGGATTCACTGGAGATTAGATCACGGCTGTCCAAAGTTACTCTTCTCTGTACGTTGAGCCCCTTTCTTATTTGCGCTGGTGGGCAGCTAAGGTTCTCTTGGCACACCCTCATCCATTCTTTGTCCTTCTGTGCCCTGTTCGCCCCCCTTAAGGGCTGACCCACCTGAGCTCCTTTGGCCCCTGGCTTCCTGCTGAATTTGACTAAGGGCTGATGCAGGCAGGAGATCAAAGGATAGGAGGAGACAGAGATCAGGGTATTTCTTATTCCTGTTCCCTCTGCCTAGGTGCCATGTGTCTGTGTGACTGTGGTCCGTCCCTACAGCTCCTATCTGGCTCCCCCTGGTCCCAATTCTTCCTAGGTTCTGACATCACTGCTTCTGCACTAGGGGTTGTGAGGGCTTTCCACTCTTGCTAGTCCCTGGGGGCCTCAACATCCCTCCTTGGTTCCCTTAACCCTGCCTACACCTCCATACATTAAGTCTTCTTGGTGATGCAAACACAGACAACTGAATGGTTCTTTTGTCTCTTGCCAGGACCCTGGCTGACACCAAGGATGACACAGAGTCTACCTGCCTGGCCCACTTCTGCTCTCTCTCACACGGGCTCCTCAGGGCTGAGCTACTGTGTCTATCCCACACTTCATGCCTCTTCCTTTCCTAGGCTTCCTCCTCTTCTTTCTTAGGCCTCCTCCTCCCCCCCCCCCAGAACCATCTTTGCTGGTCTCAGAGCTAATAAAGACTTAGGTTTTATCTGTTCTTCTCCTCCCTCCATACTCACTCCAAGAGATGAGACAGATCGTTGCTCAGTCAGCAAGTAGGCTGACATCCTGGGAGCACACATGTAGGGGGAAGCAGAGGCATGGCTCAGAGCTGGCAGCCTTCCCTCACTGACCCCCAGGGCTCCATCCAGGAGACCTGCCTGGAAGCTGGAACTGGCCAAGGGCCACTTGCATGGGACAGGGAGAAGGGAAAGAAGGAATGGAATGAGGAGGGGAGGTATTTTCTCTGAGACTAGGTCCTCTCTAGACCTTTGCCCTTCTTTCCCCATCATCCCCTCCCTTTGGTTAGACAGCCCTGAACCATGGGGTCGATATTGTCTGCAGCCCAAGGCCGAGTTTGCGCAAAACTCACGTGTCCTTTGGGTAATGTGATGTCTGTGTTTGCTCAACGTATAACCCCCTCCTCCCAGGGTCTGAGGTCCCTGGAAGAGGAACCCCAGAGGAGAAAGTCTGAAAGGGATCTCCTTAGGAGACCTGCAGGTCTGAGCTGTGGGGCTTCCTGAGCAACCCACAGAAGTCATGCCACTTTTGCCTTGAGGAGATCTGCATTTAAGGAGAACATCTAAGGAAGTCTTATGTGCCCCTTCCTTCCCCTTCCACAGTGTCTCCCCTCCCTATAAGCCACCCCTCCCCTAGATCTGACCTCTCTCCCTCCAACTCCAGCTTCAGTCCCCAAGGCCAAGACTAAGGTGAGGTGAAGTAAGGCAGTCACTTTGGGGGCAAAATTGTAAGGGGTTGCCAAGAAATTCATCCATTGAGGTTAATAAAGCAGCCCATTCCCTGGAAAGCTGGTCAGTGCGAAGCCAATGCAATGTTTTTAAAACAGCAAAATGAATGCGAAAAAAATCCATGATGAACAAAACAAATTTTAAAATAAATACAGAACCGGTATTAACTCCCTTTCTTTTTGGCTCTGCCTTTTGTTAAAAGGGGAAAGAGAGGGTCTGTCTTCTTCCAGACCTTTGCTTCCAGATCCTCTTGGCCCCTAACTCTAGACTGTGTCAGGCTTTTCTCATGTGGGCAAGACAAACACTTGGGCTTCTTCTCCTTTCTTACCCGCCCCCAAGCCTGTCCCTTCCCCCCAGCACCCAACCAGGTTGGTGGTAGGGCGGGCCTGTGAGGCAGATGGCTGGGGTATTTATAACCTGGGAGCACTTCTTGGGGAAAGTGACTAAGATGCTAAGAACATATTTATAGCTGGGTTCTGACGTAAGTGTCAGTGGGGAGGTAGGGCCAGGCCAGGCACAGCAGCAAGAGGGTAGGAAGAGCTGAAAATTGGGGACACCTGATAGAGGATAGGGGAGAAGAGGGGTCCGCGACTCCTGCAGCCACTTGGTGCTGCTTCTCTTGACTCTGTCTCCTGGCCCCGACGGGTAAACCCTCTGAGACACCACCATGGGCAGAAACTTCTTTGCAGTTCGATGTTCCAGACCCCAGGGGTAGAGGGCTGTCACTCACCAGCCTCAACCAACAGAGAAGTTGCTCAGAGTAGGGGGAGAGAACTGGACAGAGGGGCTTGAATATGTTTCCGCCCGGGGAGAAACGTAGGAAGGACAGAAGGGTCTAAAAGTCTCCTTGTCCCTTCTCTACCCCCCCCACCGCCACACAGTGCCCTGAGTTTCTAGGAAGAGCCTGGCACCCATCATTGGGCTCCATTGGCACGTGTCAATGCGACAAAGTCTAAAACCAAAGGTAGCCCGGATATGGGGCCTGAAGACAGCTTCTGCTCTCTGGTAGTGGCGAGAGGGGAGAGCACGGGGACCAGCTTCTGTGTTTTCTGTAGGTGAGGCGGGGTCCCCAGAGTGAGAGGTTGGAAAGCGCTCTGCCTCTCCCCACTCCTCAGAGCAGCCCATTCCCTGGGAAGCTGGTCGGCCCTAAGCCCCCTGCCGTCCAGTGGCACTACACTGCCACATGGTGGACACTGGGGGTACTGAGGCCCAGCCCCCAAAGCACCACTTTCTCCCCCTGGTGCCAGACCTAGTAGCCTCTTGACAGTCCCCGCTGGCTACATAGGCGGGAGGTTAATAAAACAGAGCAGGGGCACATTTACAAATCACACTCACTTCCTTCTAGCTTCTTGAAGCAACTGGGGCATAAGGAGAAAGGCTAACATGAAGTCTACCCTTATAAGTTCGAGGTGGAGGGGCCATGGCTCTCCCATTTAGTCAGCAAGGAAGTGTGGTAAGGAGGGCTGGGATGGGAACCAAGGTCACTGCACTCATCTTGCTTTGCTCTTCAAAGTCCTTAGACTTCCCATTTCCTGCCCCCTTTCACATAGGCCTCGCACCACTTCTAGGATGCCCCGAATTTAGGTAACTCTCGCAGTCCCCTTAAAGAGAGCCAGCAGCTGGGTATGGGCCCTCCCAAGTCCCATGCCCTTCTGCCAGCCTTGATGGACTCTGCCCTGCTGTAAGATTGCATCACCGCCACCCCTACCTCTCTGGGTTTCCCCAGACATCGCAGTAACATGCCCCCCACCCCCACCATGCTCCAGCCCCCTCCACGTTGTGCTCCAGTCCAACTGGACTCTGGGCAGCCAGCATAGGCAGGGTCATGAGGTGACTTCCGTGCCCCATGGCACTGCCACCTTGGCCTGGGCAGGAGGACTCCATTCCTCTCCGCGCCCCCCCCCCCGTCCCAGCCTTATTTCTAGGAAGAGGGAGACCAGAGTTCTCCCTCCTGCCCAGAGACCCTGGAGAAATAACCAGTGGAACTCAACAGCTGCCTCATAAGAACTGCTGCAGCAGAGGTGTCTGGGTAAGCTGGAAGGACTAGAGGTATGGGAGGAAACTGCCCTCCCCACCTTGCCCCTATGAGTCCCTCCCCTGAGCCCCAGACCTTGGGGACTGAGCATGTGAAATCATTCTCTTTCTTGCATCATGCATGTCCACATTGCCCCCCCCCACCCCCTTACACCTACCTCAAACTCAGTGACCAGGCCAGATGGTGAAACCCGAGCTCCCGGGAAGGGGGGGGGGACCTCCACCCCCCTCAGGGCCCTGATGGGCAGCACAGCCGGCCAATCCCGGGGCTCAGAGGGTAAGTCTGCTGGCTGACCACTAAGTGGGGGAGCCCCAGGTTTCGGCTCTAAAGAGGCCCCAGTCGGTAACCAGCCATGAGCTGTGAGGGTCAAACTGGCAGACTGCGCTAAACACAGCCACCCATTGGACCATCCGCATACTGCCCTCCTGAGTCCCGGGCAATAGAAGACAGGTGGCTCTACCCTTGGCCGAGGGTAGGTGTGGCACGGCGGTCTGCTGCTGTGCCCTCATTGGCTTCCACGCAATCAGATCAACAGAAGGAGCAACTGCCATCTGAGGCTCCGGACCCAACCCAGGGCCATTCACCAGGAGCATGGGGCTCCCTGATGTCCAGCCCCAGCTGGTGCTGCTGTGGGCACTGGTGTGGGCACAGGGGGCAGGGTCTGCATGTACATCCTGCGGAGGCCCCACGCCGGCGCCCCAGGCAGAACGAGCTCTGGTCCTGGAGCTAGCCAAGCAGCAGATCTTGGAGGGGCTGCATCTGACCAGTCGTCCCAGAATAACTCACCCTCCACCCCAGGCGGCGCTGGCCAGAGCCCTCCGGAGACTGCAGCCAGGAAGTGTGGCTCCAGCAAACGGGGAGGAGGTCATCAGCTTTGCTACCATCACAGGTGGGTAAGAGAGAGGCAGGCAGAGAGCAGGCGGAGAGGGAGGTGGAAGGGGACACTGACAAAAAAGGCAGACGGAGCAGGGTGTGGGAGGAGGGAGGACAGAAGAGGCAGGGACGGGTTGCAGAGGACGGAGGACACAAGGCAGTCCCCGCGTCTTCTAAAGGGGCTAGGGAGAGCAGCGGGCGGGGCTTGCAGGGGTCTCAGAGGGGAGCTCCATCCCTGCTCACATTCCTCCGTCCCTTCTCCATCTCTCTGGCAGGTCCCTCCACCTCAGCCTGCAGCTCCATGCTCACCTTCCACCTGTCCACAGCCCAGTCCCACCACCTGTACCACGCTCGCCTCTGGCTGCATGTGTTCCCCACCCTTCCCGGCACTCTTTACTTGAGGATCTTCCGATGGAGCCCAGGTAGCGGGCACCAAGGGTCGCACACCCTCCTGGCAGAGCACCAGACTACAGCCCCGGGCTGGCACGCCCTCACTCTGCCCTCTAGTGGCTTGAGGGGTGAGGAGTCCCCTGTCCTGAAACTCCAGCTGAACTGCAGACTCCTAGAAGGCAACACCACCTCTGCCCAACAGCCTCGGCAGCTCCTGGACACAGCGGGAGACCAGCGGCCCTTCCTGGAGCTTAAGATCCGGCCCAGTGAGCCTGGAGCCGGCCGGGCCAGGAGGAGGACCCCCACCTGTGAGCCTGAGACCCCCTTATGTTGCCGGCGAGACCATTATGTGGACTTCCAGGAACTGGGATGGCGGGACTGGATCCTGCAGCCCGAGGGCTACCAGCTAAATTACTGCAGCGGACAGTGCCCCCCCCACCTGGCTGGCAGCCCCGGCATTGCTGCCTCCTTCCATTCAGCTGTCTTCAGCCTCCTCAAGGCCAACAACCCTTGGCCCTTGGGTACTTCCTGCTGTGTCCCTACTGCCCGAAGGCCTCTGTCTCTCCTCTACCTGGACCGGGATGGCAATGTGGTCAAGACAGATGTGCCCGATATGGTGGTGGAGGCCTGTGGCTGCAGCTAGCGAGAGGACCTGGGGATTTGGAGTAAAGAGATCAGTTGGGGGTTCCCAGGCAAAGGGCATCTGTGGTGGGAGACATTGCCTGATCCACACCCCTACCTAATGGGCGGGGTGGCAAGATGACCGGGGTGACCCTTAGGGGACCCAAATGGGCACTTGTCGGTCCAGACTCTTGCCTATTCCAGGCTGGTTGATATGTGGGGAGATGGGGAAAGTGTGTTCTCTAAAGGAGTCTCCCCAGAAAGCTTGATTTCCTACCTAAGCCCCCTGAGAAGGTGGCAGAGGTGAGGGAGGGGTGGCGGGAGGGAAGGAGAAGGCAGAGAAAAATTACTTAGTCTCTCGCAAGAAGAGAAAGTCCTCAAGTGAGGGAAGCAGGCTTGGGACAGGGGAATCAGGCTGGCCCAGGGTGGGAACTGTGGAAGAGCTTTCAGGGAGGGTCAAGAAGGAGATGGGCAAGGGGCTAAGAGGAGGTGGTTAGGAGAGCCCCAGAAATGGGAGCCGGGAGAGGGGTACTGAGCCTAGGAAGTTCCCTGGTTTTTCCCAGTGTGGGGGACAGGACCCACCGGGGAGACAAATGTTTATCATTTCCTAAAAAATGAGGGGGAAAATCAACAAGTATGAGTTATAAAGAAGGGCTGGGGTGATAGTCCATAGGGATAGTTTTCAAGGTGAGGTGTGGGGACCCTTGGGAGGTCCCTGAGAGGGGTGTTTCAGGAGTGTTCACAGGATCAAAACTATTTTCATAATAATACTAAGATGGTATTTGCCTTTTTTATTTTCATTATCTCAAAAGTATACAGTGGAGTTTTCCAGAGGCTATGTGGCATGTGATTACATCATTTTTCTGACATCCTTGTTAATGGGATATGTGCCTGTGTATTCTTGTGTTACAAAATTCTTCAGTTTTAACTTCTAATATAGTAAATTAACAGGAACCACATAAACAAAAATTCAATAAATTTTAAGAGTATAAACGCGGGGTGACGGGGTGGCTCAGTGGGTAGAGCATGCATACGACTCTTAATCTCAGGGTTGTGAGCCCAAGCCCCACATTGGGCGGGGAGCCTATTTAAAAAAAAAGAGGGGCTCCTGGGTGGCTCAGTTAAGCATCTGCCTTCGGCTCAGGTCATGATCCCAGGGTCCTGGGATCGAGCCCTGCATCCCATTGGGCTCCCTGCTCAGTGGGGAGTCCGCTTCTCCCTCTGCTCCTCCCCCTGCTTATGCTCTCTCACTCTCTCTCAAATAAATAAATAAAATCTTTTA